CTCCTCTTCTCTCCTCTTCTCCCAGGTTTTCATCCACAACCCTCACGTTCGCGCTCACAGACCGGCGTCTCACCGGCTGAGCCAGAGCACCCAGGACTCGGACATCTCCCTCCTGAACATCAACCAGGCAGTGACCTGTCTGACAGCAGGACCGCTGGGACCCAACACCGCTGGGGACACGCTGCTGGTGGGCTCCCAGACCAACCTGCTGGCCTACGACGTCCACGACAACACAGATATATTTTACAGAGAGGTAACTGGAAACATCTTTTTGATCTCGTCCTTTTTTAAATCTAAACACATGTTTGCAGGTAAAATGAAACTTTAAGTCGTGTTTTTGCTGTTTCGGGGTTTAGGTGACAGATGGAGCCAACGCCATCGTGTTGGGAAGACTTGGGGACATCCCATCTCCTCTGGCCATCATCGGGGGGAACTGTGCTCTGCAGGGCTTCAACTCCGAGGGAAACGATCAGTTCTGGACAGTAAGACGCTTAAAAAGAAGTTTCAAAGAAGTGGATTCAGTTTTTAGTTATCAGGCAGAAACTTCAGAAGGTTCTCTGTAAGCAGTTTACTTTTTCCCTCAGGTAACTGGAGATAATGTCAGGTCTCTGATGCTCTGTGACTTCACTGGAGACGGGAAGAACGAGGTCAGTCTGAGACAGACTTCTTCCTTTACTTCCTGATTTATTCATCTGTTTACTGACTGATATTTACTGACTAATGTTTACTGTCTGATATTTACTGTCTGATATTTACTGTCTGATATTTACTGACTGATATTTACTGACTGATATTTACTGACTGATATTTACTGTCTGATGTTTACTGTCTGATATTTACTGTCTCATATTTACTGTCTGATTTACTGACTGATATTTACTGTCTGATATTTACTGTCTGATATTTACTGTCTGATGTTTACTGTCTGATATTTACTGACTGATATTTACTGTCTGATGTTTACTGACTGATATTTACTGTCTGATGTTTACTGTCTGATGTTTATTGTCTGATATTTACTGACTGATATTTACTGTCTGATTTTTTACTGACTGATGTTTACTGACTGATATTTACTGACTGATATTTACTGACTGATATTTACTGTCTGATGTTTACTGACTGATATTTACTGTCTGATGTTTACTGACTGATATTTACTGTCTGATGTTTACTGTCTGATGTTTATTGTCTGATATTTACTGACTGATATTTACTGTCTGATTTTTTACTGACTGATGTTTACTGACTGATATTTACTGACTGATGTTTACTGACTGATGTTTACTGACTGATATTTACTGACTGATGTTTACTGACTGATGTTTACTGACTGATATTTACTAATGTCAGTCAACACAAATACGGAGAATTTAGACACAATCCAGATTAACAAGCTCTTCATTAGTTTTTCTTGTAAATATGTTTTTAAAGATGTTTGCAGGTCATTTTTCTGATGTCAGTCATGATGTTTCTCTGTAAGGTTAACATGTGAACAGAACTCTATAAGTCTGACATCTTCAGAGGATTTATATGAACGTTGGAAAAATAAATCCAGTTTGATAATCATTAATGCTAAAGAACAGTTTAGAAAACATCTTTATCCGTTTTGAACCTATAATGTTTGTACTCACCATTATTTGGTCAAATTGTACTTTAATGGAGACACAAACTCCTAAAACACTAAAAAGATAATTTGTTGATGTTTTTGCCGGCAGCTGCTGGTGGGCTCTGAGGACTTTGACATCAGGGTCTTCAGAGAGGACGAGCTGGTTTCAGAGATGACTGAAAACGAGGTAAAAACTTGTTTCCATTTGGGATGCACCGATATGAAAATTTCAGCCCATATCTGATATTTATTGATATTACACAAACGCACAAATTATATTAAACATATGTGCAAACACACTTGGGTCTTTTTTGATACAGTAAATACAACCAGACCTCTGACATGGCTCTGCTTCAGTTCTTCCTGGCTGCAGCATCAATGTCACTATCATTATCAAACAGATGCCACTCAGCCAACCATCTCCCCTTCCAAAACAGAAACACAAAGATTAAAAGTGGGAAATCAATGTTGGACGTTAATATCTGCCCAGTTTTACATATCGGATCGATACCGATATTCTAAAAATCACCAATATCGGCTGAAACAGATATTAATACCGATTAGGGCTGCCACAAATGATTAGTTTTATAGTCAAATAATCACCAATTATTTTTTTCGGTTAGCTGACTAATCAGATCATACGTTAATTGAATATAAAACATAAAGCTTATCGCACCAGAATGCAGCTATTATATAACCATTTTTAGATTTTAGCTATATGCTAACTAAAAATTATTGCAGTGGAAGACAAGTTCTGCTCTGCAGATATTACACAGGTTTCTCTTTCATTTCTTAAAATGATCCCACACTTGTTAACTCCATTGCCAGGTAGCCATGATACCAGAGCCTGTCTGTATAAAGTCTTGTGACGTCCACGGCCTACCCCAGTTCAAGTTCAAGTTCAGTTTATTTATATAGCTCCAAGTCACAACATACTGTACGTTGTCTCAGGGCACTGTACATGAAAAGAATAATCTAAAGAAGAAAGCAGCAGATTGTGTTG